ATAAATAAATAAATAACTAGTTTTTGCATTGATAATTTGAGGGAAAATGTGCTTAATTTAAATAAATAAATAGATAAATAGTTTTAGTCTTGATAAATGGAGGAGAAAGTGTGCTTAAATAAATAAATACATACATAAATGCTGTTTGTGTTGATAATTGGAGGAGAAAATGTGCTTAACGAAAATAAATAAATACATAAACAGCTTAAACGTCTAATGGATCTTACCTCAGATGAACAGTCTTCAGCTGTCGTTGAGACTTCACTCTCGGGCTGACAAAAGAAAACATAATGAGGTCACATGTGCAATTAATTTCTACATTGTTCCACTTTCTGAGCCTTCGGTGTTAGTGGGTCACTCATCAAGACGACAAGCTTTTAAAAAATAGCATCCTGAAATGAGCGCTAAGCACGGCTGTATCTGAGCCTCTACGACAGAGAAAGAGAGCGGTCTGTCTCCACACCAGTACAGACACACTTCAGCTATAAAAGCATGATGCATGGCCGCTGTTCTCATCTCCTTCACGAGATCACGGCTAATTACACTGATGCATGAACGTCTGACCTACATCCAGATCAGTGCAGAGACGCAGCCACGGGAAACCCAACAGAGCAGCTGTAATCATGAGCACTAGGGCTGGGTTTTCACACAAATTTCACGATTCGATTCGCATTCACAAGCTTGCGATTCGATTCGGTATTGATTATTTTGAATATATATCAGGTACCGTACATGCCAAATTTTCTCAAGGAAAAAACTAATGCTGTAAAAAATTAATGAGAGTCAGTTGGTACTACATTAGTATAATATTGAAGGTTAAAATTGAATGATTTGTTAAAATAACACTTGATGAAGTTTTTAAAATAATAAAGTCACAATTACATAATAATATTTCTACTTCAATTCGTGTTTTTAAATATAAACATTTAAATGGTGGCTGTCATAAAAACTTATATGTTATTAATATGTTATATGGGGCATATATTTAGCAAAATGTTAAATATATGCACAGTTTATTTTTCTATCTGACTAATGAGTTTATGGTCACCGAATATGTTTTTCTGAGGTAAATGTGACGTTACATTGTTTACAAGCCGTTATATTGAGGTCTTTGCGCGGCTGAAACACTGATTGAGCGATTACACGAGACAAGGTACGGATTTTAAAGTTGTACTCTTTCTTTTAACTTCCCTTCGGATGTTTAGTCATGTTTATTTTGTGCTATAACTAGTAATAAAGCAGAGGAGATGATCAGTTCACTGAGGTGCTACAGCGATCACTCTACATTAAACCGCGCCAAAAAGGCATTTATTGTTTGAATTCTGCAATACAATGAACAGAATCTGAAATCTGAGACTTTGTTTCATATTAAAAGCACCAAAGTACAATGCTTACTGCGATTTATTGGATGGGAGGTGCGCTTCAATGTTCCGTCCATTAACTGAAAACTGGCTAAACTAATCGATTCTTGTGATTTAAGATTCGATATCGTTCTGTAAAAATGAGAATCGATTAATATAGAGATATCTATATTTTTTACCCAGCCCTAATGGGCACGATTGATTAATACTGGAAACATGACTAAATTAATGGCAGAACAGTCAGTGCAGATAAGAGACTATTCTCAATGCTGATCTTATTAGATTCACACGCTACATTTATTAATTCAGAAGATGCATTTATTCTAACACATTTCTATAACGCAATACCTTTTATTTTCTTATTTAATCGTATTTTAACTTTTTATTTTAATGTCAATATAACAAATTCAATGATGTTTAGGCTAAACGCTAAACCATGTAAACTAAACTAATATTAAAATAGTTTAAATAAATAATAAAAATATGCCACAATGCAACAAATTCTAATATACAAACATAACAAATATATTGTAAATAAATAGCTTTGTATTGATAATTGGTGGTAAAATGTGCTTAAATACATAAATAGTTTTTGTACTGATAATTTGAGGAGAAAATGTGCTTATTAAAAAAACAAATAGATAGATAAAGCTAGATAGATAACTAAACTGTTTTTGTATCGATAATAGGATATAAAATGTGCTTTAATAGTTTTTGTACTGATAATTGGAGAAAGTGTGCGTGAAGAAAATAAATAAAACAAATAAATAAGTACATAATAAATAGTTTAAATAGAGAAAATGTAATTAATGAAATAAATAAATAGCTTTTGTATTGATAATTGGAGGAGAAAATGTGCTTACACAATTAAAAAATATAATAAATAAATACATACATAAATAGTTTTTGCTTTGATAATCAGAGATAAAATGGGCTTAACTCAAACAGTTATTGTACTGATAATTTGGAAGAGAAAATGTGATTAATGAAATAAATAAATAAATAGGTTTTCTACAGTGCTGAGAAAATGTGCTTAATGAAAATTAATAGTTTTTGTATTGATAATTGGATGAGAGGTGTGCTTATATAAATTAATAAATATTTGTTTATTATTAATACAAGCAATATGTACCAAATAAGACTCAAAATTTAAGTTACGCTGATATTTACTAGTTAAAAGCGTCTTGTTAATTTAGTAGGTCAGCAATATGACTTTAGCGCCGTCAAACCCATCAGACACACGTGTTCACTATATAACAACAGTTTGAGATCTGTGAGCTTTACTCCGCTAGATTTCAGCACAGTCACAAGTGTTGTTTCCACGGCAACAGCTGCAGGAGGAAGTTACACGACCGCTTGAAACTTTGCTGTGGTGATTTAAATGCAGACGCATATCAACTACATAACACACTTCAGAAACAGATGGAAACAGCAGAGTCAGAGGAGACTCTCCATGCTTAGAGATGGTTGAGATTGAGCATAAACTCACAGACGGAGGTGAAACTGCTTGTTTCCTGGAGAAACCTCTCTTGATAAAGCACACGGACACATTGAGAGCTGAGCGAATGGAGCAAGATCACACCAGCACTGCTATTCTGCTGCAAGGAGACACACACACACACACACACACTCACTCACTCACTCCCTCACTCGCACACACTCACTCACTTGCTCGCTCACGCACACACGCACTCACGCACACTCACGCACTCACACACTCACGCACACTTGCTCACTCACGCGCACACACACACACACACACACACACGCACACTCACTCACTCACTTGCTCACGCACTCACACACACTCACGCACACTTGCTCACTCACGCACACACACACACACACACACACACTCACTCACGCGCACTCGCACGCACGCTCGCTCGCTCACTCACTCACTCACTCACTCACTCACACGGCCACACACTCCCTCGCTCATGCGCGCTCGCTCACGCGCACTCACGCACTCACTCACGCACACTCGCTCACTCACGCACACATGCGCACGTGCACTCACTCACGCACACTCACTCTCACTCACGCACACTCGCTCACGCGCACTCACTCACGTGCACTCACTCACGCGCACTCACTCACGCAAATTTCGGATCGCTTGGTCTAACCTTAAATCAAAACTGGCTACAGTCTTTAGAAATCTTTTTTCAATGAATAAACGATAGTCCTAGACATATAAAATCATAACACTACTGATTGTGTTCATTTTGTTGTTTTAGGTTAGAAGACAATGGGAAGAATTGCCATCGGACTAACCACAGCTGACAACCAGAGACACACACACACACACACACTCACTCACTCACTCACACACGTACACTCTCACGCACGCACGCACTCACACTCTCACGCACTCTCACACACACTCTCTGACTCTCACACATACACACACTCGCACGCACACACACTCACTCACTCACGCGCACTCACTCACGCGCACTCACTCACGCGCACTCACACACGCGCACTCACACACGCGCACTCACACACGCGCACTCACTCACTAACGTGCACTCACGCGCATTCACGCACGCACACGCACTCGCTCACGCACTCACGCGCACACGTTCACTCACTCACGCTCACTCACACACGCGCACTCACACGCACTCACTCACACACACACACTCGCTCACTCACTCACGCACACTCACTCGAACACTCACTCACGCACACTCGCTCACTCACGCACTGTCGCTCACTCACTCAAGCACACCCGCACTCACGCACACTTGCTCACTCACACACACTCACTAACACTCACGCACGTGCACTCACTCACACTCACTCTCTCACGCACACTCGCTCACTCACTCACGCGCACTCGCTCACACACACTCACTCTCTCACGCACACTCGCTCACTCACTCACGCGCACTCGCTCACACGCGCACTCACACACACTTGTACTCATGCACACGCGCTCACTCATGCACACTCACTCACGCAGAATTCTCTGTTATAAACAGCGCTGACTGACATACGTCAGGAAACCAGAAGCGGTAACGCTAACTCTAACCATGGTGTTGTGGTAGAAATAGTCCAATGCAGAAGCGTCATGTCCATTCAAAGTGAGGGGGCACGTGTCCCCTCAGATTTCTGAGCCAAGTGGATTTTGAATGCAGCTACCAAAAGACAAAAAATAGCTGAATAATATTTTGTATATTTGATACAATCACACCAGCGTGATTAAATCGTTAAGCGCGTCATATCATCAGCTGCTAAATTCAAATCTGTGTTCGCTGGCTGGCGCTGAGCCAGAGCCAGACGCGTTTTTACAGCACTGCACATTATAACCAATCATGCTGTTGAACTTATGAATGCAATGGCCAATCAGAGGTGTTCAGATGAGTCATCGCTAAAATGCTGGTGTTTTGTTCACTCACTTGCTGGCTGAATACCTCTTTCTGGCGAATTCTCTCGTTAGAAACAACAAAGTGCAAATGTGTGTACGAATCTGTAAGATAGTAATTTCACAGTGTAAACAGCTTCAGTGATTTTAATGGGAGTTTTTGAGAGTGCTTGAACTCTAGGCTGTCATTGAAAATGTTCTTTGATAATGTAAATATTAGGGATGCACCGATACCACTTTTTCCAGTACTCGCCCGATACCGATACTTTTATTTTTGGTACTTGTCGATACCAATATTTTTATTGCATTTGTAAGTTTTTTAAATATTGGGTACAGAAACCAAAAGAGTACGTATAATGTTAGTTGGTTAACTTCATTTATCAAATAGATAGTCAAACCAAAATGTATTCTGACACCTTCAACATTTCTCACATTATCACAGTTTATTCACTATAGTTTAGAAGATGGTAATAAAATATGACAAGAACTCAAGAGTTACACTGTATCAGAACAAATTCAGCTTGATAATGTTAGAAAGGTA